GGCGGGGGGGGTGCGGCGCCTCGGACGGCAGGGGCCGGGGGGCTCCCGGCCTTTCATTCATTCGTTTATTCGCTCCGTGGCAACCGGCGTTCGGACAGGCGTCGGGCGGGGCGAGCGCTGCGGGAGCGCTGAGGTCGCGGGCGGGGGACGCACGCATCAAACTGTCATCATGCAGCGGGCACAGGAAGAAGAAATCCTGAGTTACGGAGCCGACGACGAGGGAGTCGCAGCGCGGGGTCACGGCGTGGGTGCCGGGCCCTGCGGAAGGGTCTGGGTCCTGGGAAGGCGGCCCGGGCCTCTGACCTTGACTCTCCCGAATCCCGCACGCCCGCAGTGAAGGCCCAGCAGAGGGCACTCCCTACGCGCGCTCCGACTCTGTCCTCCCCGGTTTAGCCTTTGCTTCGTATAATCCACTTTTTTCTTTCGTTTTTCTTCTCCGTGACTAGCCAGGAACCTGCCCCCCACCCCCCATGAACGGAGAGCTCTCCTTCACTGGTGACTTGCAGCGAGGACAGCTATCTTCTGGGGGTTTTGTCGGTCGATTGTTTCATTACGGACCGCAGCCGGGCCAGCGGTACAGTGGTGGCTCCGGTGGCTGGATCCCACAGGGCTGGATCCCACAGGGCTGGCCTGGGGGATGAGGTCCCAGACTCTGTTCTGAGAGAGACACGCTGGACACGTGTGTATCTAACATCTCAAGAGAATAGAGAAGGGATTGCCGCAAGGCCTTTCCCCTACCTTCCCGTTTCTCACTTTCCTCTGTCTCTCCAGCAAGCACATGTGCACTCTAACAAATTAGGGGGCGAATAAACCACCGCCCACAGGTCTGCCTCAAAGCAAAGAAAGGCCTCTGCAGGGCTTTCCCTCACCCATTAAAAGTTTTTGCCATAGGGCCTGTACGCTGGTCAGAGAGACAGAGACAGTGAGAAATCACTCCCTGGGGGATGGCCACACCACAGTCCTTTCTCCAATTCTCCTCCTGGGACTTTAGGCATGCATTCACACATGCCTGGCGTGAGTTTCAAGGTGCCAGGTCCAAGACTCAAACCATGGTCGGCCATGTGGGAGTCCAGCATCCCAACCACTATCCCACCTGCTGGCCCCAGGCCTCAGTCCTAATTCCAGACCGTTCTCCTCACCTGCAGTTCCACTGCTGGCAAGACCTCTGTGCAGCGCCCAGCAGGCACGCTCCTGACGTGGGAGATCTCCCCTGCTCGTTCCTTGATTGGTCACCAAGTCCTGGGGTCAGCTCTGGGATGCTGCCCCAGCAGGACAGACTGAGCCTCACTCTTTAAGTCCAGCTGGGACAGCCAGTGCACACGCAACTCACCTAAGAAGCTGCTCTGGGATCCTGGAACACAGGGCCCTGCCCTGGGCCAGCAGGAGAGGCCTGAGGATGGGCAGGGCTGAGGGGTGAACGGTGGTACTTCCGGCACCAGCACTGGCTAGACAGCCCTGAGTTCTCTCAGCAGCTGTCAAAGTCCAGGCAGACCAACACCTGTTGTTTTTTTGCAGTGCCTGTTTTCTGACCAGCTTTGTTTTTTCTTTTTTTTTTAAAAATTTTTTTTTTTTAGATAATTTTGCTATAGGGTGTGTGCACTCAGCAGAGAGATAGAAAGCGAGAAATCACCCCCCGGGGGATGGCCACTCTGCATTCCCTCTCAGGATCTGAGGCACATACGCACATGTGCCTAGTGTGAGTTTAAGCCACATGGTCCAGGACTCGAACCACAGTCGACTATGTGGGAGTCCAATGACATAACCCTTACGCCATCTGCTGGTCCTTCTTTCCTAACTAGCTTTGAAGGCACCGATTCCTGCAGGTTACTTTGGTACCAATAGCCCGAGTCACCTCACCTGACTAACAAAGCCTGAACTTTCCCCTGGCATTCAAGTCCTGCCACACTGTTTTCAGTATGCCTTCCCTAGCCCAGGGGCCACCCTCCTGGTTATCTGCCCCTCACTCCTAAGGACAGAGCACATGTGCTGGCTCCCTGTGACAGCCATCAGGTAAGAGCGTGTAGTTACCAGGGCTAAATGATCTAGAAATGCCCCTTCAGGTCAATTAGTAAAATTCCGCCTCTCCTACTGAGCGAGAACTGGTGTAGACTGCCAGAGGAAGCTGGCTTACTGAGGGTGGGTCTCAAGGTCACATCCTGCGGTGTAGAATTTGGCCCCACTGTGCAGGGCAGGGCAGCGTGAGGGAGGCTGCCCACCTCTCTCCTGGCTCCGCATCTTCCCAAGGGCTCCCACCTGGGCAGATTACTTGTGCCTCAGTTTCCTCACTTACAAACCTCGTGATTGGCTTTCTCCCAGCAGTATCCTGAGGAGTTAAGCTCTGCTGCGTTGGGTCTGGGGCCTTGTCTCTAGAGTCCCAGCGAGTGATCTGCAGTTATCCCCTCCTCCAAACAAGGGGTTCTGTGGTTCTGCGTCCCAAGGAGCTGGAGCAGATGCTGACGCCCTCCAGCCCCCGGGTGTAGCCATGGCTGTGCTGGCTGTGGCAGGCCTGTCTTGCAGGGGGCTGGCGGGCCAGGCCTGCACAGAGGCCAGCCCAGGGCAGTGTCACCTTGCTCTGCCTTGACCCTCTTCCCTCTGTTCTGCACAGCTTCCTCTCATCCACTGTGTCCATCGGACGTTTGCCTCCCAGACGGAAGGGGAGCTCAAAGTGACCCAAGTCCTCAAAGAAAAGTTTCCTCGAGCTACAGCTATCCAAGTCACCGACATCTCAGGTGGGGCCTTGTCTCCCCCATCCTACGGAGTGGGAGGATCCTGCCCTGTGCAGGGGTGGGAGGATCAGTCTGCAGTGCTTCTGGGCAGAGGGGCAGAGGGAACTGTGGGGACAAAGCCCAGCTGGCAGGACACCAGGCCCAACTCTGAGGTCTTTCCCGGTCACCCTGGAGTGCAGGTCTCGGTATTTCATGTACCTGCAAGGTAGTTTTACTCTGATTTCCCCAAGTTCTTCTGACACCCTAAAATGTCAGCTGGGGTGGGGCCCAGGAGAGTTCTGCCCAGCCCCTCACAGGCAGAAGCAGAAGAATCGGACCTAGAACCAGGATCAGGGCAGACCCGGTCTGTCCTAAGCCCAGCTACCAGCCCCAGGCGGGCCTTGACTCTCAAGTGGTCACCAGCACCTCACCAGAAGTCAGACTTGCCGTGTGTTAGGGCAGGCCAGGAACCAGCTCGTGCACCACAGGATGGGAAGATAGGCCCTTTATCCAGACACGCCCATGGCCCAGCTCAGCACTGCACAGGCAGATAGGAGCAGCCCGAATACCCTCCACGCGCACCACAGGGCTCAGAGACTTAGCTGAGAACGTAACATTTGCAAAGGTTCAGGGGAAAGTGTGGAAAGTGGATTTTATTCTGGGAACCGTAGGAAATGAATCCATCTGAAGGTCCATTGGACGATCAGTTTGTTGGTACGGGCCTGTAAGCTCAGCTACTTGGGAGACTGGCAGGATCATGAGTTTGAGGTTGGTCTGGGCAACATGGCAAATCCTGTTCCTTTTTCAAGTTTTTTTTGCCATAGAGCATGTGTACTTGCTGGAGAGAAGAGAGACAGAGAGAGACAGTGAGGGAACGTGAGAAATCATTCCCCAGGGGGATGGTCATGCTTTAGTCCCTTCTCCTTTCTCCTCCTGGGATTTTGGGCATGCATGCACACACACTTGACATGATTTTTTTTGAGAGGTTTTCGCTATAGGGCGCATGCGCTCACCAGACAGAGAGAGAAAGAGAGACAGAAAGCGAGAAATCACCCCCCCAGGGGGGATGGTCACACCACAATCCCTTCTCCTCTCGGGGTCTTGGGCACGCACGCACACACGCCCGGCGTGAGTGAGTTCTAAGTCACCGTGTCCGAGACGCGAACCGCAGTCGACTACTTGGGAATCCAGCAACATAGCCATTACGCTAACTGCTGGTTCCCCACCTGACATGATTTTTAAGCCTCTAGGTCCTGAACTTGAACTGTAGTTGGCCATATAGGAGTCCAGCACCTTACCACGCCACCTGCTGACCGTCAAGATCCTGTTCTTTCTTTTTTGGAGACGTTTTTGCTATAGGGTGCTTGTGTTCACCAGAAAGACAGAGGGACAGAAAGCAAGAAATCACCCCCCCAGGGGGGATGGTCACACCACAATCCCTTCTCCTCTCGGGGTCTTGGGCACGCACGCAGTGTGAGTTTAAGCCACTGGGGCCGGAACTCAGACCGTGGTTGACTACAGGGAGTCCAGCGACGTAGCCATTATACCAACTGCTGGTCCCAAAATCCTGTTTCTTAAAAAAAAAAAAAGAAAAAATTAATTGGCACGAGGCTATGCAAGGGTAGACAATGCTGAGGCCCGATGTTACTAGTTACCAGACTCTGCACCTGAGCCAGGCCTGGTGCAGAGCTAGAACCTGACCAGTGGGACAGAGTGCAGAAAGGCATTCGAGGCTGAGAACCCGAGGTTGACCAAAATGTGGACTCCTTATAAGAGAAACAAAACAAAGCCAGTGCATACATTGCATTCGCCTACAACGCCTGCTGTTGACAGTTCAGGGCCATCTTCTTGCCCGGGTTGTCGCACGTTAGAGCGGCCCGTTTCTCATCAGTCAGCACTAGCTCTCTAGCCACAGGGGCCGAGTAGGTTCACCCCAAGCTCTGCCCTGAGGGCTTTCCCCAAAGCTGCCTCTGCTCCAGCCCAGGATGAAAGCCCGGGTGTTGCCCTGTAGACCAGGAGGTGCCCGAGTACTCTAGCCTGGCACATTTGCTGTCTTCCTGTCCCCTGCCGACCCCCACTTCCTTGTTCCTTTCTTTTCTCTTGCATAGTATTACAAACAGTTTTCAAGCCAAATTCTGGTGTGTCCGTGCACTTAAAAACAAAACAAAAAAAACAAACAAAAAAACGGACTCCTGGTCCACTGGGGGATGAAACACTGGGATTCAGACCTGCCCACCCTCTTCCACGGCACTGGTTACCCTGCTAAGCGAAGTACTCATTATTCCCCGGATGGTGCATGCTTCGTGCTTTATCTTTCCTGCCCTGTGTGACAGCCCCGAGTAGTGCAGCTGCCTTGCCAAAGGACAAGGTCATTTTGGGTTGTGGCAGGCTGTCGGGAGGAGTATGTAGGCAGAGTGGAAGCCATGATCTTTCTCACATCTTGACATCTTTTCTCTATGCCGAATAACTACCCTCAGGCCTCCTTTGGATCATAGAGTACTTCAAGACACGTGGGACTGCACTGCCATCTTCTAATAATTGATATGCTTTGAATTGAATTTATCTTAGGAGGCTGTGGGGCCATGTATGAAATTAAAATCGAATCTGACGATTTTAAGGAGAAAAGAACTGTCCAGCAGCACCAGATGGTTAATCAGGTCAGTAGAGGTCACAGTGCCCCTTTGCCCCTGGCCTTCAGCATCTGAGAGCCTGGCGAGTGGGGGCTTTTCTTCTCTTTTCTCTTCTCTTCTCTTTTCTTTTCTCTTCAGATTTTTGCTACAGGGTGCATGCGCTCACCAAGAGAGACAGAAAGGGAAAGTTAAAAATCACCCTCCAGGGGGCATGGCCATCCGCAGTCATGTGCATGCACCTGGTGTGATTCTCAAGTCTCCAGGTCTAGGGCTTGAACTGTGGTTGGCCATGTGAGAGTCTAGCACCTTCACCACCTTCACCACCACACCACCTGCTGGCTCCAGGGATATTTTCTTTAAATCGCTTTACTTTTTTCATCCGAGAGAGACAGACAGTTACCCCCGGCAGGTTCTTCACATTGTGATCCACCCTTAGCCTCTCCCGCCCTGGATCAGGAGCATAAACAGATACAGTGTCTTCGGGGAGGTCTCCAGACGTGAGCCTTGGACCTTCCCACATGGGTCAGCCTCACAGAAAGTTGCGTTCCCACTGCACCACTGTCTGCCCCAGGATGTGTGTGTTATTTAAAGAATTATTTTATTTAACTTTTTATTTATTTATTTCAATTTGACCAGAGGGACAGAGTGAGAGAGAGAAAAGGAAAGCAAGAAAGCAAGCCATCAGGTCCGGGACTTGAACTGCGGTTGGTCATATGGGAATCCAGCACCCTTAACCACCAGGATGTGTTTTCTGCTGTCAGTCCCAAGAAGAATGCAATACCACAGTCATGTGACTAGGAAGTGAGACCTGAGGAAAGTCTAAGGGCCCACCTGGAGTCTGACTGTGGGCAAGTAGGAATTTTATTCAAAATCGAAAACAAGCCACCATAGTTAGGACTCATTTCTTCACATAATGCTAGTACGGTCTGCCGCTACTGCAAATGCTGAGTAGGATTTATGGGTAGGTAGTGCCGAAAAGTGTGTGTTTTTACCTGGAGGTTTTCAGTCTCTTTGGGACTGCTTTACAGGTGGGGGAATTGATGCAGGCATGACCAAGAATGGCTCTTGCTGCCCCAGGCCCCGTGACAGAACATCTAGGGCCTGGATCATCACGTTTAACCAGACTAAGGCCCAGGTTACACATTATGCCTGTTTAGTTTAACTGGAATCGATGTCAGCTTTGACCCTTCCACAGCTGTGTTTGACGTCACCCCGGGAGGCCTTACACATTGCAGGCTCCTTTAATTTCTGTAAAGCACAGCTCCGGTCATGAGAGTCCGTCCTGTGGCCCCTCATACACTGAGCTCAGGTGTCCCGGACTGCCGTTTAAGAGCTCCCGCCTTCTCTGTGCTCGGCCTTCCCGTCAGCCACTACTGGTTTCTCTCCGTGTCTGGACTTTGCCCAGCTCCGACCTCCTGCCCGGGCTCCCCGTCCCCAACTCAAATGCCACCTCCTCCATCCTTGGCAGGGCACGGAGGTGCCCACCCCCTGACTTCCTCTTTTGGCTGCTGCTGTTTTCTGCCTTGTGCCCTGGATCTTACCTCCCTGCCCTCTGCCCTTTGTGGACTGGTTTCCTTTGGGTCCCATCTTTGGATTCTCAAGGATCCTAGCCCTTCCTCACAGGTGGCACCAACAGTGCCCAGTGAGTGGGGACAGGGCAACAACCATCACCTGCCTCCCCCAGAAGCTCTCCCAGCACCCCTCCACATCCCCACCCTAGGATCTCAGGGATCTGTGGCAAGGAGGAACACAAGACAGGGGAGGCCTGGAGGGCCAGATTGTCCCCAGGTGGTGGGACATGGGGCGTTGTTCTGCAAACCACATGAGCTGCTGTTCCTTTTAGTGCGCCCCTTGGTCTGAAGCAATGGTTACCGTGAAGTGGCTGAGGGTGCAGGCTCTGACCGAACGTGCGCCTAATCTGGCCTCTGCTCCTTTCTGGGAGTGACCTGGAGCAAGCTAAACCACCCCTCTGTCCGAATCACGGAGGAGGGTGTCTGACACACGGGCCCTCAGTCAACACGAGGTGCTGTCCCCATTGTCATTGTCATCTCCAACACGGGGAGGAGCTGCACCAAGTCCGGGGAGGGCAGCGTCTGAGTTTGGAGGGTTGCCGCCTGCACTGTCTTGGCCCAAGGTGACCTCTGGGTCCTACAGTGACACGTGCCTTCCCCTGCTCTGACCTGAGTAGACAGCTGGTACTTTGTCTGTCGTCCCCCTAGGAAGCAGGCTCCATGCAGGCTGGAGCTGATGCAGAACAGAATGAGGACGTTCTTTACGCCCAGTGTGGAGAGATCTCTAAGACAGACGGTTTGAGGGAAAAGCAAAGTATAGAATGATGTGTTTGAAAGTTTTTTTAAAGAATTGTTTAATTTTAGTCACTATTATTATTATTAATTTGACCAGGAAGAGACACAGAGAGAGAGGGAAAGTGAGAAAGCAAGCCTTCAGGTCTGGGATTTGAACCATGGTCAGCCATGTGGGAGTCCGGTGCCTTAACCACTACACTACCTGCTGGCCTCATTGAAATGTTAACATTTGTGGGTGTTTATTTCCCTAGAGAATTCATGAGCTCGCCGGAAAGAGCAATAGTACCCTCCAATAGGCTATGGTCATCCCACAATCCCTTTTCCCTCAATTTCTCTACACTGTCAGGATTTGGGGCATGCATACACATATACTCAGCATGTTTTTCATGCAGCCAGGGTCAGATTTCAAACTGTGCAGTTGGCCATGCAGGGTCCAACTCACTCAAACATCAGGCCATAGGGCCCCGATTGTGTTTTTAAAAGGTAGTGTAGGGACCAGCAGTTGGCGTAATGGCTACGTCGCTGGACTCCCATGTAGTCGACTGCAGTTTGAGTCCTGGACCCTGTGGCTTAAACTCACACTGGGCATGTGTGCGTGTGTGCCCAAGATCCCAAGAGGAGAATGGAGGAGAAGGGATTGTGGTGTGGCCATCCCCCCTAGGGGTGATTTCTCACTTTCTGTCTCTGTCTCTCTCTGTCTTTCTGGTGAGCGCACACGCCCTAATTCAAAAACAAAAAAGTAGCATGGCATAAAATGTATATTAGGTTGAATATGTATTTTCAAATTCCTGCGAAGATACATAAGAAACTGTGTTAGCAGTTCTCTGTTTGGAGGTGGGGCGGACATGGAGAATGGAGGCAGGGTGGGAGGAGCACATCACTGGAGGTCTTTGTATACCTTTTGATTTTTTTTTTCTTGGAGAGGTTTTTGCTATAGGGCGTGTGCGATCGGCAGACAGACAGAGAGAGACAGAGAGACAGAAAGTGAGAAATCACCCCCCAGAGGGGATGGTCACGCCACAATCCCTTCTCCTCCATTCTCCTCTTGGGATCTTGGGCACACACGCACACATGCCCGGCGTGAGTTTAAGCCACCAGGTCCGGGACTTGAACCACGGTCGACTACATGGGAGTCCAGCGACATAGCCATTACACTAACTGCTAGTCCCATATACCTTTCAATTTTAAAACCATGTTCCATATTAGTAGTTGGAAGAAAATGTTTTCCCCCCACAAAAGGAAAAATTGCTTAAAGCAAGCAGAGTGTACACACAGAGCAGTATAAAAACACTCCGAGAACTACTGTGCTCAGTGACAGACACCTGAAACACGCCGATGCTCTTCTACTCCTCTAGGCCCTGAAGGAAGAAATCAAAGGGATGCACGGACTGCGGATATTCACCTCCGTCCCCAAGCACTGACCGCCCCGGCTGCGTAGATGCTGCCGCACACTGTGGACGACCTCGACTGACACGATTCTTCCCTAGGCATTTGCCAGAAGAAGTCATCTATTTCGTCCACAGACACTTCCATGTTATAGTTATAGAAGAGATGTTATCTAGCTAGATGTTCATTAAAGGCAACAGACAACCGAAGCTTTTGAAGGGTCATTGGCAATGCCCCCAGTCCCTTTATTTCAGAAGCAGTGCCTTTCATCCAAAGGGGTCTTGTCCTGGGACAGCTCTTTCCTGCGGCTACAGGGCCAGAATGGAATGGCAGCTTCCTGTCGTGTGAAAGGTTTTCTGGTTTCTTCTCCCGTTAGACTGCTCAGCCCCTTAATCTTTTTTTCTTTTTTTTGGAGAGGTTTTTTGCTATAGGGCATGTGCTCGCCAGAAAGAGACAGAGAGACAGAAAGCGAGAAATCACCCCCCAGGGGGGATGGCCATGCCGCAATCCCTTCTCCTCCATTCTCCTCTCAGGATCTTGGGCACACACGCACACGCGCCCAGCGTGAGTTTTAAGCCACCGGGTCCAGGACGCGAACCGCGGTCGACTACGTGGGAGTCCAGCGACATAGCCATTACGCTAACTGCTGGTCCCCAGCCCCTTAATCTTATCAGAAGACAAGAAAGATCCTTTGCTTTTACAATCCTTTAGTTTCTCACTCTCTTTCCTTGCCCCTCCAAACTTTTTACAAGAGTGATCTGCACCCTCAATTTCTTACTCTCTGGAGTGGACTCAGGACTGCAAAGTCTCCTTCCTGTGTCCGAAGGCCCCTCACCCCCTGGGCCCTGGAGGGAGGCAGAGCGCTCCCACAATAGAAGCTGAGGGGATTGTTTTCCCAGCCTCCCTTGCAGCCAAGTCATGGACAGATGGTCTAGACTCGGCCACTCAGACAACCTGCCCTGACCGTGGGAGCCAGCGGCACAGCTGCAGAGCCAGTGGGGCATCCACCCTGACAGCCACGGCCACAACACCTGGTACTCTGGGTGGTGGGGGGCAGGGAGTGGCAGAGTCAGTGTCACGAGCTGCCGTCTCGAGTCCATGGTGGTGGTTGTGGTGCCCAGGTCTGCAGCATGGTTTGGGCTCAAGCCACGGAGCCTTTCTAACTCCTACCCATTTTCAGAAGCTGCTTCTCCAGTGTTGCCAGAAATCCTGCAGCTGCCCCCGTATCCTTCCACTGAATTCTCTGCTCCCAGCAACCTGCTCTGTGTCTGTGCCTGCAGCATGACGGGTCCTCCAGCCCTTAGCTGTCTGGTGAGCAGCCTCTGACAGGTCACTACAGCCACTGCCCCACTCGGTCTCAGCACCTGGTGACTGCCGTGAGGGGAAGGTTGACCATTTGCTCCTTCCTCAAACTCCTACTTGGTCTCAGGGAGCCAACCGCCAGAGAAGTCAGTGGTCCCGGTCAGTTCTGAAGGCCTCTCCCTAAGAAACGAGGGTGTGTAGGTTGGACAAGCTTGGGTCCCTGATGTTAGGGGCCACAGATTACAGATGGTCTGTTCTCACACTGTGCTCCTGTCTTGTGGTTTAAAACGAATTCTACCTACACCGTGGGGTGGAGGGATTAGTATCCGACCGAAGTAGAACTGCCTTTTACGTGGAATAGAATCGCTCAGTGGTCTCAGAGCTGAGAAGATGGGACAAAACCGAGACAACCGAGCTGGGCCCAAACTGCCTAGACTCACTAGAGGACGGCGCTAGGCGGTGTGGCGAGGAAACACCAAGGCCTGGAGGCCCCGGGGCCCAGCATGGAAGTGGTCAGTGACAATGGAGGGACCACACAGATCTTCACTGACTCCTTGGGTGGAACCTAATTGCCTTCTTTTTTTTATTTTTTAATAATTATTTTACTTAATTTTATTTAACTTGACCAGAGAGGGAGAGAGTGAGCGCGAGAGAGCGAGAGCGAAAGTGAGAAAGCAAGCCACCAGGTCCAGGACTTGAACCACAGCCAGCCATGTAGGAGTCCAGTAGCCTTAACCACCACGCCACCTGCCGGCCCTCCTAATTGCCTTCTTAAAGGAGGCTGGACACAGGGCTCTGCTTCTAGAACAGGAATAAAGCGGCTTGTGGTTCCAGTGGCTGGTTCAGGAAAGACCCCGTGGCTCCGCTTCCTCAGCGCTCTCCATTGATTGCCTACTCTGGGGGTAGGTGGCTGCCATGTTGTGAGGACACTCGGCGTTTTGAAGAGACACAGAGGCCTCTTACCCACAGCTACCCAAACAGGCCTGTCAACAGCCTGCAGGGAGCTGAGGCCTTCGGCCACCATCAAGGCTTCAAAAGCCTGCAGCCTCTGCTGGTGTCCACTGCAGCTTCAGCGGGAACCACTGGCCAAGCCACTCCCCATTCCTGACCACCAGAAACTGCAACACGGCAGTGTTAGTTGTTTTAAGCCACTGAGTTTGGGGTACCGTTTCTGCATTAGAGAGGACTCTGGGGCATCGCTCACACTGATGGTCAGAGCCGGACAGCAAAGGCAGGAGTACAGTTGGGTGTCAGGAACACCAAGGCCACCGGGTCCCCTGAGGGTCCGTTCTGCAGATCGGCTCCATTAGCTCTCACTGGAGGTGGGCTCCCACCGTGTAACGGCGACCACCAGCCCCTCCCACTTACATGCCAGTGTCCAGGCCCCCAGAAGGGCAGACTTTCCTTCCAAGTCCCAGGGAAGACTCTGATCAGCTCATTTTGAACTGGGACGAATCAGCTGAAGCCCAGGAGTCGCGCAGAAAGCCTCTCGTTGGACTCTGGTTGGGAGTGGAGGGAGGAAGAATTACAAAAAGTGTGGGTTCTGGTCTTTGAAGGAGGTGCTGGGGCCAAAACAGCAGATACTCTCATCTGGAGGGACGGGTCAGCGTGGCGTGGCAGGCCAGGGCCCTGGGAGTCTTGGGACACCACTCTGTCCTCTGCTCTACCCCACCCCACTCTAGGGGGCCCTTCAGGCCATGAAATGCCTATCCTACCACTGTCCGAAAGTCTATTTTTCAAATCTGGCAACAAGTAGCACCCCAATACATGCACCAATTTTTCTCCCCAAATAAAAGGGACGTTGTGAGAGGATTTACAGAGTTTATTATTTTTTTTGGAGAGTTGTTTGCTATAGGGTGTGTGTGCTTGCCAGAAAGACAGAGATGAAGAGACAGCATGTGAGAACCCCCTCCGACCCACCCCAGGGATGGCCACAACACAATCCCTTCTCCTCCATTCTCTTGGGATCTTGGGCACGCACGTACATGAGCCTGGCGTGACTTTAAGCCACCAGGTCCAGGACTCGAACTGCAGTTGACTACATGGGAGTCCAGCAATGTAGCCATTACGCCATCTG